GTGTGTGTGTGTGGGTGGGTGCATGTGCGTGCATGTGCGTGCATGTGCGTGTGTGCGTGCGCGTGTGTCTTTGTACATGATGTGCCCAAAGCCCAAGTTCAACCTGCTGGTGCTGTTGTGTCGTTCAGACGTTGTCGCCGCGTGCTGTCACCATGCATGGACAGGATACGAGAAAGGCATCTGATTTATGTAGAATGCTTTCCTTCACTCAAACAGAACACGCTACTTGTATGTGCAGATGCGACATAACGATTAGGATAAAAAAGTGTGTAAAAAGGCGTCCAGTGTACATAAGGCTTGTTGCATTCGCTATCTGCTCAAAAACAGACGTACACACACACACGCAAAGAAAGATATATATGTGGGTGCATAATGGTGCATACATACACACACACATATTATATATATATATACACACACATACACGTACAGACATGCAGTCGCAAATACATACTTGGGGACTTGGGCCCCGCCGCAATCCCTCAAGTGAACGAACCGATGGTCAACAATTTCGAGCTTGCTCATACGAGTAGGATTATATATGAGTCGGGAAATTGAACACGAAATTGAACACTTAAGGCTGCCTCTCAAGCATTGTCGGCATTGTGCAGACTTCCGCATAGAATTCTACAGTGCAGATCTCTGACTCTCTTCAACCTCGAATTCCAAGTGTTCCTTCCAATTCTTCGGGTCGATTGTTCATAAGTTTGCGACCCAACCGAGGGCAGAAAGGTTTTCAATATGCAATTTGGAGGACTGAAATCCGAGACCTTGCAAAACCTCGGAGCCATCAAAAGTACTTCTATCGAGCTTGCTACTCACCTGAATCAACAAGCATTTTCAAGGCAATGCTGCAAAGCCCCATTCTGTGCTACACCCTGTTGGAATGGCTCGAGCATGCCAAGAGTGGATAAAAGGTCCATTTGTAATTTTGTGTGCCGTGAGCGGCTCGCTTGAAGAAACAAGGACGCAAACATGTGCACCATCAACGCTTTTTGCATTAGCCTCATTTTTGTCGCGTACAGTACGGCTCGCCTCAGGGAACAAGCAGAATTTCCCCACAACATCCTTTGCTGTCAACCCTTGTCACGAACGATCTCGTGGAAGGGACTAGCGACGATACAGCATAAGCCTTCACAAGGCAGTCCCCAGAGTATTGAGTAGTTGTAGCTCTATACCCACTGCTTGCGCATGCTCCGGAATGCTACGATTCCCTTTCAGAAAAGGGGTTGCTATTGAATCAATCGGGTGCAGACGCACCTGACTTCCAGAAGCCTTTCCTCTACGAAACCGGGGTTCTGTCAAGTTGCTGCGTTGTCCTGCGAATGCTTGCGCACAGCTGCTGAAACGCAGCCAGTCTATTTTTCAGCCGTAGATCTCAAACCTCTTACTTCGAAGCCTCGCCGAATTCTAGAGCATGACAGCATGCAGCGCCAGCTTCATGTTTCGAGTTTGTAAAACTAGCGACTGGGCTGACAATAGCTGACGTCACCAATGTATGAAGCACGTGGCTGCCCTGCATGATGACCGGGATTTCGCCATTGCCTTTGGGTGGAAGCTCTGTCGGCCTTACCCCGAACGACAAGCTGCGCGAGGCGATTGGATCCTGCAGTTTGATTGGCTTGGCGAAAGCGCTGGAGGAAGGAGCCGATGCTAATTGTGTTCAATCCGGTTGCTCTTCGCTGGCTTTGGCTTTGCTCCATGAGAATTCTGTCGATCTCGTGGCAATGCTGTTGGAGGCTGGGGCCCAGTTACACGACCAGGAGGAAGACATGCAGTTGCTTTGCGCCCTGTTGCGCACGGAAGGGCCCCAAGCCACTGAAACCGTGGACGCACTGCTCCGACCACATGGGGAACAGCTCGCAAGCCTCCCCAGCAGAGTTGGGTGCATGGTGGCATCCAAGCTCAGGGTGGCAGAGGAAGCCGAGATTCCATACTACTTGGCTCAGGTTGATCAAAATCTCTTCGAATATCCCAAGGTTCAGGTCGACGTAAAGCTTTTGCGCTTGCCAGCGCATTGTGCGTGTTATCCAAGCATCCTTGGAGCTTTGGCAGCAACAGCCAACAAAGAGACGCTGGAGTCGGATACGGTTTATGCCATCCTTTCTGCTGCTTGGGTTCAACATCGCTGGACGAGCATGATGGATATAGTCTTAAACATCCTCAATGTCATGATGCTCTGTATCACGTCACTGAATTACCACGGTCCGGATTTCATAGCACCGCCTGAGACCGTCATCGCTGTCCTTGCAGCACTGCACCTAAAAGAAACGGCTGAATGGCTGTTTGAATGCCTACGTGGCTTCTATGGCTCACTGTCCAGACTGAAGCAATGCATGCAAGGAAGATGGGTGAAGGCAGCCCCTGTGTTCACCAGTGGCGACTTCTTATTGGACACCGTTTACTGCATCACCGGCCACATCGTGATCTGCAAGCAGCTGGGCATTTTGGACTTGGGAGACACAGGTGCCAAGCGATGGATTGCGTTTTTCAGCGGCATGGCTTGGCTTCGGATGCTTTACAGCATGCGCGGAGAGAAATGGCTTGGACCCCGACTCCTGCCAATCTTAGCTGCGATTAAAGATACTGCGGCCTTCTTCTTCATAACGACCGTTTGCGTGTTTGCCCTAGCTCACGCATACTATCAACTGTCGCTCCGTGCTGAAGACCATTTCCCCGCCTACATGTCCTTGATTCAAACTTTTCGTTTGGGTATCCTGGGTGATTTTGATTTATTCGAGCTCGAAGGCAAGGATGTGGAGTATGAGCGTGTGGCAGATGGGGATTCGGAGAGCTGCTGGGATGCAAGTAAGCCCTATCTTTAGAAGACAGTTTGCAAGATAGGACCTCTTTGATTGCACACGGGTGCATGCAACGACTTGCTGGCTTCAAGCATCATGGCCCCCGATCAACGCAGCATAGCTTCAACATAATTTCGTTGGCAGAGGTCCACCGAACATCCCAAGCAGATCCTAGAAGACTCGCTGGGGGCGGCCACAAGACCCCTGCCGTTGCGTTGCGTGAAGAGTTCATACTCTGTGAATCGATCTTACATCAAGTGGCAAACGCTCACAAAGTGCCGTGCATGCGGTCTACACCCGCGAGGAGGTAGACTTCTCACCCTTTACTTGCAACCTAGGATGGGTACCGCAAGATCCTGAGCCTGGAAAGGATTACATCTACGTCCATCTAATGTTCTTCGTGGCCAGTATCGGGTTGGCAGTGCTGCTCATGAACATATTCATTGCGGTCTTGGGCCAAAACTTGGAGCTGTTTCAGGATCAGGCCGCTCAACTGTCTCTCGGGCATTGCAGTAAGGGCTTTTTGGCCTTATCCGTTCGATTCCGTGAACCAACCAAGATGCAGCGCGGCTGATGAGAGCAAGAGCAGCTGAAACACTAAGGTTCGCCCGATCAAGGGCTAAGATGCTTCTGGAGCATCATCAGCGCCCTTGGGCCAGAATTTGGCAGAGCTTCGGCGCACGGACGGAGTCCAGGGAGCCAGACCAGCTCAAGTGGTCCACAGACCATTTGCGCGCACCTTGCATTCTAAGCTTGAGCCTGTTGCCGCTGGTTGGCATCTTCGGAAGTGAAATTTTCATGTGGATTGATCGTAAGTTCTCAGAGAGAGGCCTCGGAAAGTTGACCACAGCTGTCCTGTGCTTGATCTGCCCCGTGCCATTATTGCTTTCCTTGACCATGCTCATCCTCGTCGCATGCTTTTCCTTAGTCTTCAAATGGGAGAGCCTGAAGCGCTGGTGCCGCATCGTATTCCTGGGCTTGTATCTGACTCCAGCTCAAGAGCACCTTTACATCAGCCGGGCATCGAGTTGCTTCATCTGGGTTTTCGTCCGGCGCGAGGCTCCTAAAGAGGAGCTTCGAAGCACTCGGACAGCCTTGGAGGCCAAGATGCAACGCATGGAGAAGAAGATGGACCAGGCAGGCTGGCTGTTCCTCAGGCTGCCTTCTTTTCTGGTCATGTTTGCTTCATGGCGACAAACTGACAAGGTGCTGAGCCTGCTCCACACGAGCTACAAAATGCCACTGCTGAGCTGAAGACCGAGTCTGGACGCCGGTCATGTGAGGATGGCTCAACAGTACAGTCTTGTTCACGGATTGGTGTCGTACTGCTTGCTGAAGGAGTTCTAGAGAGGTCCGGATTATTTGGCACATGTGTACATTTTGTTGGTCTAGTGTCGACAAGCGGCCACATTGGCAACAGTTAAGGCAGGTTTTGTCGCGCAGCACGTCCGTCTTGGCCTCCAAAAGGAGATCTGCTGCGTAGCTGTTGCGTTTGACAAGTTTCGGGGGCCTAGTTCGACAGTTGGCATCGTGTGGGTGAACGACAAAGAGCATACGTAAATTCAGTGACTCGGACATCAAGTGTTGATTGTTGCCGCGGTCGCCAGAACTTGAAATTCGACACTTGCACGCCGGTGCCTTGGATTCCAACCTTGACAGGCCCAGATTTCGCTGCCTGCCGGGTGCTGCAGCATCGGTCTCTGCCGGAAAGGAACTACAACCTTGATGTTGCCTTCGTCGTTGTGTACACTTCGTGAGAGGTGATTGATGAGCAGATGCTCTTGTGCCATCTTATGTCTTGTGCTTTTTGTTGCAGGTACACCAGAAAGCTCATGGCTTAAGAATGGTGCAAATTCTCAACTTCTCTGCTTCTCTTGGGGTTTTTCGGTGAACATCCAGGCACGAATACAAGCTCTTGGTTGAATTTTTTTGAGCTCAAGGGTTTCGGGTTCACCACACTAAGAACTTTCGGGTTCTTGTTGTCACGACGTTGTTACTATCCCCAGATATTGAAAGTTGCGGTGCGGGCGATTGGATTTTGCGGTTTCGCACTTTTGCCTTAGCTTGCCGGGACTATAGGGCGACATCAACAGGGCATGTTGTGTCCCCACATCCGCTCCACTTCCAGGAAGCTAAGACAGATTTTCACGAAGACTGGCCAAGCCTTTCAGGGTATTCCAGTTGATTCTCTGGGTTTTCGGGTTGCATGGGAAGTTTTTCCAGCCGCAACCTCACCCTAAAGGCCCTAAAGACGATAAAACCCTAAGCCGTAACTCAACACTCTGACACCCCAAAAGTGCTGTCAAGCCTTCAAACAAGCATCCAAAGCACAAGGCAGCATTGAGCTCATATGTGACATGTGAAGACCAGCGTGACAGCCGTCGTGAAAACCCAAGAAGCCTCCTGAGACGAGAATCACCTGAAACTTGAAATAGAGTCGCGCTCCTGTGCTTGGAGCGAGCGGCTGAGGCTCTAAGTTAGTACAAGAGACATTGTAACATCAGAAAACCATGCAACTGCCACCCTTCGCTGTCGCACATCGGCTGTGCCGCACAGGCCACATACTTGTAGCATTGGGCGCTGCTGTTTCAAACGTAGGTTTAGGGTCGACGATTGGCTAGAGTCCAGGATGCGCACGGGCCCTTTCTGTCACCACGTGTTTAGTGCCGCCTGTTACGCCTCGTTTGGCATTTGCGATGCTCACGCGCATGTCTTTAGACTGCCACCGCGACATGCGAGACTAGCGCTTCGACCAAACCGTTTTGGACAGTTCAGGGCTCAAGGGTTGGACTCTCGAAACCCATAATCAAAGGCCTTTCCAAGAGGGAACTTCAAAGCGGCTCGGCCTTAAACAAAGGCATTTCCAAAAAGGGAAGTTGGTTCAGAGCGGCTCGGCTCCTGCCGGCGAGGCCTCCAAGGTTTAGGGTTTTGGGTTTAGGGTAAGTCGGACGGGACAGTTCGAGTCTGGAGTTGTGGGTGAATGGATATCTTGTCAGCATGTGGGATGGTAGGGCCCAGGGCCCAGGGTTTATTTAGGGTTGCTGGTTTAGAGCTGAGGGGTTTAAGCAAACAGGGCTTAACTAGCATCTGGCACCAATAAAAACTCAATACAAAACAAGTCAAAACCAGTTTTCAAACCCATGTAAGCCCAGTAAAAACCCATTAACACCAAGAAAACAAATGTCACCAATAGAAAACCATAAAAGTCAATAGAAAACTCATGAAGCTAGTATAAAAACATACGAGACAAAGACATTGTTTATGTCCATTATTGCAATCCTTTTCGGGTAGCAGCCTGCTGCTGCTGGTGTTTGTCTTTCTGGTGTTGGTTGGCCGTTGAAGGTATTGATTGACTGAGGCCGTTGATGGTGTTGGGAGCCTTCCTTGAGGCATTGATGATGTTCACGGGGGTTGAAGATGCTGGGCGTGTTGACGGTTGTTAACTAGTAATGATTAATTGAAAGGTAAGCAGGCTGTTGAAGGCGCTCAGGGTGTTCAGGTTTTAGGGTTTAGGGTGTGTATTGGAAGTTAGTCTTCGCAGATTCAAGGCATGCAAACATTCTTGTATTAGTCGAGAGCGTGAGCTGCCCATGTGTGGAGATTGCTCGCTGCGGATCTGCTATGCAGTCTCTGGCCAGTTGGCTACCATCATGGAGTCCTAGCTGCAACAGGTTCAGGCGCATAAGGCTCCAGCAGAAAAGAAGTTGTAGGTTTTGTTTTGTTGCGTGGAGCTTTGGCAGGGGGCTTTTTCAGAGATTAGAGTTTAGGGCTTCGGGTTTGGTGGTTGGGGTTGCGGTTTGGGGGGATGGTCCATGGTTGCAGGGTTGAGGTTGTAGGGTAGGAGATGTTGCGCATTGGCAACTTCGGGTTTACGGCCGC